TCCTCTTTTGGAAGGCCAAACAAAGTAGTTTTGCTTTGACAACGAAACACACAGCGTCTTCACGACATGGCGGCGGCGACAGCAACAATATTACAGCGAGAATAAAAGTTATGCCTTCTTTCTTTGCGTGAACATTTGGGCGGCGTTATGCAAATCTTCCCACATCGTGACATAGACATGTGGGGGCGTGTTAGAACGAGCCGTTTTAGGGGGGCGTGGTTGACTCTTAACTTTTATAAAGAATATCTCTTTGGATTTGAGACTTTAGTCTTTGCAACTTTACAGATCTTCTTTATGCACCAAGAGCTTGTAACACTTCAAAGAGAAAGGAAAAATTGAAATCGCATCATATGACCCCTTTAATGCTTAAATTGGTTTGTGAAGCTACTAACTGTACTTTCCAAAGTAGATAAAGGTTTAGTGCCACCTGCTGGACAGACTATTGACTGCACGCACTGTCATCATGAATCACCTAGTACTGGACCTTTTATATTATAGGCTACTATATAATGCAGAGGTTCTCAACTCTGGCCCTTGAGGTCCAATTTCCTGCAGAGTTTAGCTCCAACCTTGATCAAACTCACCTGCCTGTAACTTTCTAGCAATCTTGAAGACCTTGATTAGCTTGTTCAGGTATGTTTGATTAGGGTTGGAGCTAAACTCTCCAGGAAATTGGACATTGAGGGCCAGAGTTGAGAACCCCTGCAATAATGTAAGATGGGCCAAGATATGCAAAATACTTTTTGTATTATTTATTTTAAATGCACATAATTATTAACAGGATTAATTCAATCTCATTCTTGTTTTATGAATGTTCTGTGCTTTTAGATTTAGATTTTGTCTTTGGTTTATTTTAAGATAAGATCAAGGTGTCATAAGTTCTGGAAAGTGATGTAATGACATAATGCTCAAATGAAATGCCTACAGCAGACAGAGAGGTCAACTGATGGCCTCATTAGTCATTAGTGATGTAAAAAGCATTGTTTTAACTTTGTTTTACTGTAATATACTTTATGCAACACAATCTATCCTTAGATTGACACTTCCTTAAATAATACATTTACATTTAGTCATTTTGAGGGGCTCAAGTGGAAAAAAGGGCACTTCTCATATTAAATTTCTTTCTAAACAAAACGTTAAATATATTAGGGGTGTGCAGTATTATATGTCAATATTTTATGGGATTGTATCGATAACAATAATTAGATATATACGTGCATTCTTTTCGACTCATTAAAAATGAATCTTGCTGCCGCGTTCTGGATTAATTGTAGAGGTTTGATAGAACTGTCTGGAAGACCTGCCAAGAGAGCATTGCAATAGAACAAGAGCTTGAACAAGTAATATAATGCATATTATTCAATCTTATGTTGTAATATGCTTGTAGCGAAATACACATCGTTCTCTTGGCAGCAGTGTTTTACCACCATTTTATTTATTAGATTTTTGTCTTTCCGCATTCTAAGCATATGCTTATGCGCAGAAGGAAATTGGAAAAAAAAAATCAGAGATCATATCTCCAGAAAATCAGTTACAATGCAGCTTGTCAGAACAGATTATTTATG